CTTTCTCTCTCCTTCACTGCTGTATTCATTTTTCACCTCCAATTTTATTTTTTCATCAGTCGGGGGGGCGCCGCCGAGCAGATTCAATTAGGTTCTGTGATTGGGCCGCTGGCATTCAGCGGGGTCATGGAAAGGTTAAAGAATTCAGTGGCACAAACATGATTATGGCTCTGTAGCATTTGATCAGAAGTAAGGTTTGTCACGGCAAAGTGGAGCTCCTCTGTTTCTTGCACTGGGACCACCGGTTTGGCCTGAGTGTGATGTGAGCGCTGTTTCAAGTGTTGGTTTAGTTGATTCTTTCACTGAATGATAATTACATGCTGGAAAGGCTCAGTATACAGCAGGCGTGAAGAGATATACTACGGAGATATATGGCGGCACGGAAAAGTAACTGAACCCTGGATTTGAACCCTGCATGCGTATTTTTGTATAAATTTGTCGTAAGATAAGGTTAAATCTACACTTACACTAATGAAAAAGCACAAAAAAAGAGATCTCAGAGGACTTTTTATCAAGAATGTTTATTTGCATAAAGCTTATAAAAGGTTATAAAGTAATCTAAAAAACATTTATTGTTTTTGTGATGTGAGGCAATGGTCAAACCCTCTGTGATGTCACCTATAGGTTTCCTGAAGAGGTTTAGAACTGTCTGACTCCTTTTAACTCCCAGCTAATGCAAATATTAGTAAAAATAAGGAGCATTAGCAGAGTTGACGTGTTCTATGCAAACATCTCTAGGCCACCCACCTGTGATTCAAAGTGGTCGCTGTTTTAATAATGCATAACTTCAAGCGTTAACAAAAATTTAAATGAGTTATATGCAATTTCCCCCCAATACCAGTGTCATAAATGGGGGAATTAGCTATAAAGACAAACATGTCTTCTTGTACCAAGCTGTAAACATGTTTATTTCTGCTGTAAAGTTGGGCATTTAACATAGGCGTTCATGGGCTCTGACTCACTTTTGGAGCCAGCCTCACGTGGACATTTAGGGAGCTGCAGTTTCTGGCACTTCTGCCCCAGAGGTCACCACTAGTGCAGAATATGAAATTCGACTATTCCAGTGTTTCTACAGTCTAAGCCTTTTTTTTGGAAACAACGCCTGTACATACGACACCTCGTACAAATTATCTGGGACCGATGTCACAAAAACTTGCTTGATTAGTCAATTTTCCCTGAATTTGCTCTTCGTCTTTGCAAACAAGCAGACAGTGTATCAGTGAGGGGGGTTCGGTAAATCATTTTCAAAACCTGCTTCTTTTATGGTTATTATTATTTTTGAGATATTAAACTGCAATCTCAGGGGAAAAAAAACATAAAATCCTACTGAGGATTTCTTTAGACTTTTGAAGCATTTTAATACCAAGTCGGGCCTTATTTTTAGATTTATGAATTCAGTCCCTTTCCTGACTTTTTATGGATCCGTGGGAACCCTGTGTTGAAGATGAATTTTTACTTTTGAGCTTTAATGGTAGACAATTACAATTTTTGACTTTGACATTCATCAGTCCACACTTAGACGGACTGTCTATAAATGGAGATGATTTAGTGCTACTCTCCCTGGAAGTGGGCTTCCAGCTTAGATGACTCTGTAAGTGTAAAGCAGATTGCTCAGTGAGGTAAAAATGATCCCAGAATACTAGCGTGTAAGGATTAAATTAATCACCGGAGTGGGTTAACATTTCTGTTCACGAGTCTGCCACATGTAAATCAAGGTGCATGGCTGAATGAAGCATGGTGTTCATCGCAGGACACCACAGAGGTGCAGACCTGAAGTTTTTCAAAGAGCACTTTGAGACTCTATAGTGGCATTGGGACATGCTTTGTGGACCACTGAAATGAAGATCGAATTGTTTGGGATGAGCATGCAGCGGTATGTGTGGTGTTATAAGGGCCGAGCATACCAACATGAAAATATCATCCCAAAGATAAAGTACAGTGGACGGAGGATCATGATTTTGAGCAGTTTTTGCTGCCTCTGGGCTTGGACAGCTTGTCATCATGGAGGAGAAAATTAATGAATTCCCAATTTCAGAAACATTTCCTGTAGGATAATGTCAGGGTGGCTACCGACCAACTGAGCTCTGTCAGAGATAGGTAATGCAGTGGGACAATGACCTAAACAGTAAAGAAAATCTGCTAGAATATGACTTCAAACACAGAAAATCCATCTTTTGAAGTGGTCCAGTCAGAGTCCAGACCTTGACCCAATAGCAATGCTGTGAAATGACCTCAAGAGAGCCATTCACACTGGATGGAAACGGCTGAAGCAGTTTTGTAAGTAGGAATCATCCAAAATTCTTCCTGAACGTTGTGTTGGATGAAAAACCCGCTTCGAGTTATTGCTGCCAAACGAAGTTCAACTAGTTATTAAATCCAAGGATTTACCTTCTTATTGCCACAAACACTGGAAATGTTTAATGGTTTGTTCAATAAAGACAAAAAAGATCACAACTGTTGGTGTATTATTAGGTTAAGCGCATTGTGTTTGTGTCCTTGTGACTTACAAGTCATATAACTCACACTTTACGAGCAATTAATGCAGAAAAACAGGTCATTCCAAAGGGTTCATATACTTTTTGTATATATAACTGTACACAAGTGCATGTGTATGCAAAGGTGTGGCACGCGACTACACCAACGAGCATGAAAACAGACATATATATGCACAGAAGCATTCATTCTCTCGCTCTTCTTCTCTGTCTCTCTCTCTCTCTCTCTCTCTCACACACACACACACACACACACACATTCAGAGAGTAGCAGAGTAATAAAGCCCACCCTTGCAGTGAAATTAAAGCTAGTCAATGACACTGCGTGCTGAGTACACACTAAATCATTTTTATACCCAGATGAAACAGCCAACATAATACCAGCTCGGCACATGTATCCAATATCACCTGGAGACTATGAAAACAAACACACACACATACACACACACACACACACACACAAAAGAATAAAAAACAACTAATCAAATATCATATTGGATGTGTCAGATTCATGTCAGTACAAGAGATTAATACTAAATATAGGAAATATGGTACAATAAGGGTATGAGATCTTTTTATATTCAAAATGACCAGGCACAGAGCACATTATGAGATATTGGATTGATAAACAGGCTGTGATGCTGTTGTTCAGTGAGTATAATAGAACAATGACGCTGCTCCTGGGTTAGCAAAGATTGCAATATGATTTTAATGTGTTTTATAGACACAAGCCCTTCACTGAGAGGAAATTATGTCAATAAATAAGCAGCCACACATTTTAAAACAAAGGGAATCATAGCCAATGAAAAAGAAAAAACTGCACATATATAATGGTGTTTGGCTACTATCAAATGCTATATCTTACACAACATGGCTATGCATCCAAATGCACACACAGAGACAATGACTATGGCATACAGTGAGTTTAGAGGCCTAAGGTTCTGTCTGACTTAAAAACAAAACTGATTTTTGGACATATTTCCTCTTTAAAATTTATCAGTGTTTTCAGCTTGAACTAAGTTAAACAATACAAATCTCATATAACAATATTATAAAATTCGAAAGCACATAAGCCTTTACGCGCTTTCATCTTTTACGTTCATTACCTCATGGCCGCACTCTACCAAAGTTACATTTATCTCATGTCCCTGTGTATTTGCACATACACATTTCTTTTCACTCACACCTGAATTTGCCCAGGAGAAGATTCTTTTTGACAGTGCATGTCAATCACCTCATTTTGGGAGTGCCCGTCAATCATCTCTTTCCCTGAAATCAGTAGAAGCCACAGCCATCAGGGAGCTTTTCCCATCCGCTCATATCTGCCACTTCAGGTGTGAAACACTAGCCAGACGTAACCAGTCAATAGAGCTGTTTGGTACTCCAGTCCCTTGCTGCAGCCTAATTGCCAGTGCAACCCTCAAATATGTCCCACAATTCTCAATTCTTGTGAAACCCCAACCCCCACGAAGAAATCCCCATTCCATACTCAAGATGGGTATTTACATGCCCCACACTGTGGAGAGCAAACAAGCTCATTTAAAAGTTCACATGCTAATGTGTGACATTTAATCCAAACTTTACACGGGGAAAAGGACACGCTACAATAGATTTTGATTCCTTTCTTGTCCGTGAATCTCATCATCTTTCGCCTTCCATATTTATGAGTTGAAAAGGCGGGACACCTTAGAGGAGAGTGAGGGGAAGGGACAGGGAGTTTACTATTTGAAAATTGGGCTGGTTAGTGATATGCACCCCTGAGTCTCATTCTTTGTTGATATTGTTTATATGCACAATTTATTGATTGTTCTTCCTATATGGAGCCACATTGCAGAAAGCTACTAAATAACTTATAAGTAGCCCACTTCACATGTATTTCTATGTATTTAATAGCTATATTATTCACATACTATCAGATTTAAATGACTGCAGGATTTTCATTTTTCGCTGGCAACTTCTCGGTGTCACTAGCTGAAATGACAACTGTCTGCAATATCAGCTGTAGCTAATTCATGTAGTTAATTCTGAGAGTTGGCCAAACCACAAAATGAAACTCGTAGTAGTTGTCTGGTAAATGTAATCTGAAAGGCAGTGTCTGCGCGCTCAGCCAAAGACAATTTTCTAGAGATACGCCACTCTGTGTCGTTTTGATATTTCAAAAGAGTGGAAAGAATGGAAAGTGGAAAAACCAAAAAGTCAGCCAAAGGGGCTGCGGTTGGGAGGGGTAGCTGGTTCTGTACGGGAGTGTATGTGCTAAAGTTTTGGTTTCACCGGATGACTGGCTGACACACAGCTGCATGCACTGCATATTATGTTCCCATGCAGGTTTATGTCTAATCTAGGGTTCATTTGAAAATGCGTCATATTTGTGGTAATTTTTGGGGGTTTTTTTTCAACCTTGAGTCCTGGGTTACTTCCTGTGTGTGTGGATGTGTATCTGTAAAGAGGGCAACACAGCTAAGTGAAAGTAAAGAAAACATGTGAATTTCTTGTCATTTTTCTTTGTACCTCACAGAGAAGTGTCTCCTCCTTCTGGTGGAGCTCTGACAACTCCCTGCTCTGTCTTTCCACCTGCTTTCTGCTGACCTCCAACTACAGAGAGAGAGAGACACAGAGAATTTGTGAAGGGAAATTATTAATAATCAAATAAAAATAAATATTAAAATTCACTATGAAGCCTACGTTAAAGCTTAATTAGGTATAAGCTGGTTACATTTTCAAAACTGACAACAGGCAGGGAACAAGAACAACAAGGAGCTAATAAAGCAGCGATGGGTCAAATAAACAGAAAGACATGATGACCCAAATGTACCTACAATGTGAATGTTTGTGAAAGAAAAAGACTTGTGATGTATGAATACTCAGGTTCTTTCTGTCTCTCGCCCCCTCTCCCTCTCTCTCTCACACACACGTACACGCGCACACACTCAGATCGACCAGGACAGGCCAGGGATGAGCACACCCCATCTGATCTGTGGCCCGTTCATTCATTAGACCCATGCTCTCCCCTATTGATTTCAGCTTAAGTAATGAGAAAGCTTATCCAAAAATCTTTAGCATTTGGGCTCCAACTTAAGGGAATCAATGGGGCCATTTCCCATTTTGAACAGCACATACGCAGGGGTTTTATGTATGGTGAACGGGACAAATCCCGATGCTGATAAATCAATAGGCCTTTTTGTCGATGGACAGGCATGCTTGCACACACACATACATGCATACATGGACACACTTGGCTGATAAATGGTATTTTTGAGGCAATTAAAGTGAGCTGTAAACATATGAAGGCCAATCAATTGGTCAGTGAGGTCTATTATCAAGGCTTTAACACTGATTTAGAAGGGGCTTTAAGTGTGGCACAGTCACTTATGCAGATCAGCAGCAGCTAGAGACCTGCACAGATAAGTGCTGCACCGTGCTAAGCTACTCACCCAACAAGATAGTATACATGTCACCACTACAGCCTTAGAAATTGCTGTGGCACAGACAAAGGTGGTAGACTTCTGTCATTATTGGCACTGCTGAGTGGCAAGTAAATAATATTTTCATCTAAGTGACCTTAAAGACTTATTTTTGTTCAAAATGTGAATGATTTTTTTTGCTCCTTATCAAATTTTTAAGACAAACAACACTGTCAAGCGTGGTACTCATATTAACTCTCACTTAGCCAGAGGCAATGCTTCACTCTTTAAAAATTGCAGTTTGCATCTAGGTGAAATAAGGTGAGTGGAGAGGAGGAGCTGTGTGCTGGACAGTTCTATTTTAGCGGCAATAGAGAAGCTTGTTAGGAGGAAAACGAATATATCAGCGCTGTCCACCCGCACTCGACACCCTGCAGCCCCCACCCCACTCCCCTGCTGCTTCCACTTTGCTAAAGGTGAGACACGTGCGTTAGCAAAGCTAACCTACAGACAACATTTCCCTGAGGTAATTGGTTCTGCATTAATATTCATTTGATTCTGCATTCAGTGACTCTGACTACCTTCTCTGCTTTGATGCACTGTGCCTCCCATGTCCAGCACACAGTGTTAGCCCTGTAACTATGATTTCAAATGCAGATATTGAAACAGTCATTCTTGCTTTTCTGAAACACAACAGTGATTTAAAGTGTACTTTGTAGTGTAGTTACTTCTAGTTTCTTAGATTTCAGTGAGTAAAGCATGTCCTGTTCTTTCATTCCCCTTCCAGTCTGGTTGATCTGGTGCACGTGCATGTGTTTTGCTGAGGCATGACATTTCAATTGTGCATCCAATCAAATTGGCAGAGAGGCAGTAAGGAAGGTTGGGGAGTGATGAGGGGTGCGGGGGTGTACTGAGGGTTGCAGACCAACCGTTACCATGGTGAATCATTTCTGTCAAAACCACCAAGGTCACAACTGCTGACCTGCAGCGTTATGGGACTTCTGAATAGCATACTGTTTATGGACATGAAGATCTCTCTTTTGCTTTCTTTGCTTCTTTGTTCTTTTCCTTTTTTTCTTTCTTTATATATTTTTTTTTCCTTCAATGCACATTTTTTCCTTACTTTCTATTTTGCTTTTCTCCGTTCTTCCATCTTTGTCTCATTATCTTTCCTATTTTTGTTTTTCTTTCCACCTTCGTACAACAACATATTCTTGATTTTGACTTTCCTTCTTTATCTTCATATTTACGATTGACTAACTGTACCATTATAGAGACCTGTGGTGTTTCTGAATCCATTATGGCCTGTGCTGGCAGTGAGTCTGAACACAGCCTGTTTTGAGTCATTATAATTCAGTTTGCTAACACACAGCCATTGTGCTAGTGTGGGGTTAAGGGAGATGGTATGATAAAATATTGAGGGCGAGCAAGGCAGCTGCAGATGCTAGCTGTCATGTGTGAGCGAATGAATGTTATGACAAGCATGTTTAAACATTCATGCGGGGAGGATAGTTTAGGAGGGCTTTTCATTAACACCAATATGTCTTCGTCTCCCTTGTGCAGACACTGCTGGTGGAAGCATGACAACAACAGGGAGGAGAGAAATTAACATCTCGAGAGGAAACTGTCACAGACACACACATGGAGAGAGGAAGAAACACTCAGTCCTGTGCAGGAGCACACACAAGCGTACACATTTTACAATGGCTGACTAACTAACACACACCAAAACAACTTTCTGTTATTGACCAGGACAGCTGTTTGAAATTGTAACATCATGTTCTGAGTGGATCAAACAGCGTACAGCAGAAGTGAGCAACACATCCAAATGAGAAGAAACAGGAGTGCAATGAAAGAATAAGGATGTGGGAGGTTTCTCTGCCAAATGTACATCAGCCTGCATGTTGTTATATTGACAGGAGATCTGACCTGGTAGCAAGAGTGCAATTTCTTGACAGTTTCTGGACACTAAAGAGAAGAAAAGCAATTTGTGACATTACTTGGGAAGAGAGCAATGCTTAATCTGTTTACATACTGTAACCTTGACAGAGCGAGGTAAATGGGACACTCACAGGTAACAATTAGGGGTTAGAAATAATGGTGCTGTGGTAAATGGGTCAACACTGTGTCCATGTACAAAAAGAATCCTATTTTTTTTTTTTGTCTTTTCCTGAAATACATCTGTAGCTCGTGATGAAAAGAAAATGGCACGGAAATTACAGCGGCGTAGTCAAACAGCTCAACATCATTCTTTTGTTACTGTGGCATGGTATTATGAAAGAGGTACACACATTGTAGCTCACTAAAACTCTATCTAATGGAGTGCAAAATCAATACCTATGCTGATGATCTCATGAAGTCAAATCAAGACGAAGGAGAAAAACGGAGCATCACGTATTCTCAACATAAGTGGCTTTGACTTACAAAATGTGTTTGCATAACATGAGCTTTAGTTAATGTCATAAATGGCTTTAAATGCTGCAAGGTGCATTAAAAATATGCACAGTCATCTGTTTTAGCTACACCTTGATGTAAACATTTTGAATTAATCTAGTTTTCACTGGTCAAGCAATTCCATTTTGATATTCAAATTTGGCGTGCATGTGTGTATGTGCGCCAGTGCACGATCGCGCAAGACTGATCTAATCAGTCTTAAATCAGTTAATAAGCCAAGGACACAGAGGAGATGACTCAGCTGATGTGAGCATGAGCTAATATTAGCATCTCACCCCCATTTCAGACCTGTACTGCGCAGAGTAGCATCTACTGTTTGGTCTTCCCATTACAAAAGTGCAGGCTTTGGACATTAAGTGCCGCAGTTAAGCTCACCACAGTGAATTCCATTAGCACATTAGCAAAGGTGGCAGAACCTGATGCTAAGGTTGGGTGCAGTGTGCGATAATTTGTTTTTTTTAAAACACCTTAAGTCAATTTTAAATGTAGCTCTGAAAGCGTTCTAAAAAATATATAAAACCAAAACTACTCCAAACAAACAGAAAACAGAATGATAGTCGTGTAGACAAAAGGACAAACAGATAGACAGATAGCATGTACAATCGCTGACAGGTGGTTGCATCCTTGAGAAGAGAAAACATTTCGGTTGCCACTCTTGAGGGACTCTTGTGTAAGCTTCAACACATGTAACTTCTATCCCCGTGTAAAATTATTCTGATGCTGTTGTTCTCTCTGTCAGATATACAGACTAAACTAGAGGGGCAGACGAGCACTACTCTGTCAAAACTAATTCTCATCTGCAAACCGCACGATCAACTGCATGCCTCAGTGAAAACACAGACACATGCCACAGAAACAAACAGATACACATACATGAATGCTCAATACATACAAATATACCCTCAAGTGCACACGCCAAAACTTAAACTATCTATTAATTACAAGCCAGAGCGTGGAGTTGACTCGGGGTAGGCGGTTTGCGACACCACAAATCTGGGAGACTTCCTGTAAGACATAAATCTGTTGTGTTCTCACTCGTTCTCCAGCAGAGGCACAACAAAGACAGTCTTGTCTGGGTGTCTCCCTCCCTTCTTTCTCCTCGCCATTCATTAGATGCAAAAGCAGCTGTGGTCAGGTTCAAAGACAATCTACATTCTCCCTCTTTCACTCACTCATTAATTCCCTCTGTCTTTTTGTTTCTGGTTTGCTCTCATTTTTAGTCATTTTCTCCGTTTCTCTCTCCCTCATTCTCTCTGTGTCCCTCTCCAAGTCTCTCTCTCCTTCTCCTCTCTAAACATTGTCTCCTCCACATGGCCCGGATAATGAGTGGTGGAGCTAAACGAGAGGAAACACGGCTCACTATTAGGAGGGGAACGCTGACTGAAGGTTTTAAATAAACGAAGAGAACTTGAGGCCAAATTGTATTTCCAAGGACATAAACTAATGGAACAGGCAGACATTCTCAGAACAAATACACACTCTGTTTAAACTACCATAATAGTTGTAAAAATATACATGTCCATGTGGATCTAACTGAGACACAGACTGGCAGAAGGCAGACGGAGAGACGTGTAAACGCAGATACCCTCACATATGGAAGCGCAGAAACATAAAAAACTGTTTACATGAATTCAATACTTCTTATTTCCTTTGGTGTGGAAAGCCTATTACCACGCATTCAAAAGCAGAACAATAGGAACATGAAAAAAACTTAAATGCTTGTCGATGTCATTGAAAACTAATTAGGCAAACGTGTTTTCGTAAGTGTCTCTGATATGCTCTCAGGCATAGAAATCCACACCCACGTATAAACACACAGAGGAGACCTCCCTGGCTCACTCTATGGGGTTAATTGGGTTATCTAGGCTGATTAGCATAACTAATTAGGATCCTTGTTAACGGATAAGTATTATTTATTCAATTAGCGCTGTGTGTGTGTACGTTTGAAGCTGTGCGTGTGTATAGATCCCCTCCATCGCTGGCATACGTTCAAATGAAAATGAAGCAAAGCTAAGTAGGCATGAAGTGAGACCTGTGGGTGTCTGTGTGTGTGTGCGTTCACTCCATCGTTTATCTATTCATACACACACAGATGCTCACCATCAGGTGCCAGACACTCCCCCAACACACACACACAAACACACACACACACACACACACGCTGCTAAGCCTGCTATGCTGTAGCTCTTAAACCTCCTCACCCCCCTCATCATCATCATTAGACTTCTGATTAGCATAATTAGCATTGTTAACCAGATGAGCTGAGTGGAGCCAGGCTGTGCCAGTCAGCGCGAGTGACAAATGTCAAGCTCCCAGCACCTTTCCAGGCTGTAGAGGAGGCTACTTGTTCCCATCAGGTGGGTTTATGGCACATTTGCATGTTCTCGCTGATTGCTGACTGATAATATAGCAGCTGATGTTTGCAGTTCATAATGATGCAATATGTGCAGAAATGTCCAACGGGATGATTTCCTTTGTGAAGGCAAACAGCTTGTAACGTGACACAGCTCTTGAAGTTATATCAGTTAATAGAACAATACTGAGCTCATTCCACCAATTTATTCATTCATGTTTGCAAATGCAGATGCTGCCTTTTGTTTGTGATGCTTAACATGCGCTTAAAGCCGACAGTAAACACGAAAAAGCAAATCAACAACACTCCTCTAGTCTTCAACTCACGAGTGAAAACTCACAAACACACTCCAACACTCACAAATAACCAGAGAGGGAAAATGAAAGAGAGAGAAAGAGAGAAGGAGCGCTACATTTACTGAAATTAAACATTTTCTCATCAGCCTGAGGGTGCAGCAGGCCCACTAATGTATTATTCATCCCCACTTCACAAAGGAACATTAATCAATTATGAAGATATGAGGATCTTAAAGTATAGAGGAGAGACGAAGACCGGCTCGTTCGTATTAATATGCGGCCGCAATCGTGCGCCCCCACCCCCCCACCCCCTTGGTCCTCAAATCAATATTTTGCAGATTAATTTGGAGCGGTTGTGGCGAGATGGCAGGATGGAAGGAAGGGGGGGATGTGGTGGTGGAGGAGAGTAGAGAGTGTCTGAGGTCTGAATTAAGGTGAAGTGTTTTGTTGTTTTTTTTATAAGACCGTGTAAGTGTGTGCATGCGTGTACGTAGGTTTGCGTCAGTACTGCTGTATGTAAACACGCTAAGTCTGCTCAGTTAATTAATCAGCATTCATCATTAACATAGAAGTTGAAGCTGACACACGAAGTTAGGATCTGAATACAGAAAAGTAAGTATGGAAAGGTAAAAAGAGGAAAGTCTATCTTAGTGTATAAATTAGATTGATATTTGAATGATTCTTTTAGTAGTGGATAAAGGCATCTTTAGTTGTTCTCTCTCTTAAAAATCTTTGATATCAAGATATTCACTCTTATCTTAAGGACATTAAAAGAAAATGTCCTATTTTGCAACCAAGTTTGCACAGTTTCACCCACTGATGAGGAGTTTGGTTATGTACAATCAATCATCTACAAAGCATAACAATATTCTCACCTCAGAATTCAAAATCACTGCCTTCTCAGCCCACTTTCTCACAGCTTCAGTACAGGCCTTCCTATCCTCCTCAGTCCCCCTCTCCCACTCTTTCTCCCTCTTCATCCACTCCTCTCCCCACTGATGCTCACGCCTTCTCCTCTCCTCTGCTTTTTCACACTCCTTTTCATCTTTCATTTTCTGTTCCTCCTCGCTCTGCCTCCATTCCTCCTCTTTTCTCTTCAACTCTTCCTGCAGCTCCTTTGTTCTTGCATTCAGCTTGGAGAGCTAAAGTCAGACAGGAAAAAAAAAAAAAAAAGCAGAAATGTGCAGGCAGTCACATCCCTGCAATCTGTGGAACAAATGAGGTACCAGTCATGTAATCTAAAAAACTAATGTGAAACATCAAGAGGCCCATTGCGAGACAACATCCTGTAAGACAGCGAAGGAGAAAGGAGGTTAAGGAAAAGATGTTTGAAGTGACTGACAGAAAGTGAGTGAATTTACATGAACAGCTATTTTATATGTACAATATCTGGAGCACATGTGGAAGTGCATGTGTGCAAATCCTAATTCGTACACGTGAGTCTCTACATACCTGAGCACGAGTGTCAGCCCCCTCTTGTTGCAGAAGCTGAATGTTAGCTTGCAGTTTGGTGATGCAGATGTCTTTCTCAGCAATCTCCTTCATGTTGTCTTTATGGATACGCTGCAGACAAGACAGCTCGCTCTGCAGGTGCACCAGTCTCTCAGTACTTTCCAACACCTGTGTGGCAGTCTTAGCCATGAAGGAGGTAGCATATGAAAGATTATTTTACAGGAGGGAAAGTTATATTATCACAGTCAACACTCATTCATTGACCAATAGCCTTTTTCCAAGGGTCCAGAAATGCTCTTCATAAATGTCTTTCAACAATCCTAATTTAATGAGTAACATCTTCTTTTTATACGTTGTCTACCATACAAATCATTATTAAAATCTTCCTTCCAAAAGAGCAGTTTATGTCTTAAATTCGAAAGTGTTTTTAGTTGTATGTGATGTTGACAGATAGTATAAAGGAGGGACACACTGAAACAGAGAAATGAAAAGGACAGACAACTATAACAGAATTTGTGTTCATGTTCCATCTTAATGCTAATAAGCAATATGTTTTGTATGTGTATGTGAGACTGTGTCAGCAAATCTATTTGTGCATCTGCATTGCAGACGTACCAGTTAAACAGAAACACAAGCAGAATGAAAAAAAAAAATCAACATTTGTTGAAAATATGATTAACAGAACAGGCTCCAGTTACTCTACTTGTTTCTCTAAGGCTCTGTAATCACACAAGCCACTAATTAGCAGCAGTGCAAATGAGTCAACTCACAAGCTGCATAAACAAATAGTAACCAGCCAACACACAACCAACAAGCCTGGGTTTACCACAAACACAAATGTATGTGTGTGTGTGTGTGTGTGTGTGGGTGTG